CTGAGCAGGACGGGACAGTCGGGTTGCTCAGAAATGTTACTGTATTTCAAAGCTGAATAGTAAGCTTCTGCAGAAAGACTGGAAAATACCAGACATACCAGGAAAGACAGAGGACTATCCTTAAAACTCCACTTTATTGATTCACCTTAAATATGGCTGGCCTTCTGTTGTCAGTCAAAGAGGGGCTAACTGCAGGTGTTATGGAAGAGTTCAACAAAAGCCAGACCTAGAACAGTATTTCCTCAGCATACTGTCCCAGCCTCCACCAAAGCATAACTCCAGGACAGACGGAAGGCAAAGCAAGAACGCCGTTTGGAAATGGTTGCTGCATTTGTCTGTTGCCATCTGAAGTGCCTTAACATGTCCTGCCTGGCTTATAGATGCTGCTCCAGAACGACACAAATCCCTTGCAGCACCTGTGTCGTATCTGTCAGACCCACACAGATGTTCCATGTGCTGGCCCATCTCAAGTGGCAGCAGCTCTCCACAACCAAGCAACTGATTTGTGTCCTGGTTATATAAGCTCCCAATTTAAGTTAGGCACCTACATTTGGTGCGTTGCTTTGTTCTCCAGTTTCCATTTATTGCAATGGGAGCTTGGACATCTAACACTCATGTAGATGCCTACCACTGTCTCTCAAAGACCAAGAAAAAAAAAAAAGAATGAAACTGAGATGATTAATTCAGGTATCCACAAATTAAAAAATTGCTTTTTGATACACAGAGCATCCTGTAGCAAACTGTATCACAGCTCGGCCATAACTGTATGAAAGTACCTTCTTCTGCTTCAAATCTACCACGTGAAATGTCATTTTATGCTGTTAGTTTTTGTATTAGGAAAACAGAAGAATTTTTACTGAATCCGCTTTTTAAACCTCACCCAGATTTTATAAAAAAATAAAATCAACCCTTCACAATTGGCTTTCATTTCTCTTGCCCTAATTAGCTCCCATCTTGATTACATTTCACAGCCTCCTTTTATCATCTTCATGATACAGGACAGCTACATCAGTCTTGTTTCATTTGAAACGCAAAATAGGAACATTATTGAAAATGCCTTTCAGAAGCATAATGTACAAGACTGGAAGGGAACCCCTAAGTTCAGGGGGCTACTGTAGGCAACCATGTAACATAAATATGTTCCTTGGCACTTGCTTCACTTCATTCCAAGTGCTCCCCACCCTCCATGCATTATACAATGTCAGTCTAAGGCTTCATTCCACTGATAAGTAGGATTGAGCTTCCAGCCAAAACATACTTAATACTCCTCCTTCATTTACAATTCTTTTATCTGCCTGTAGAAATGTTTTCACCTAGCAAATCCATTTTAACTTGGTTTAAATAAGAATATGAAGCTTTAAGTTCTAGTGTTGAGTTATTTTAATTCCCTTAGCATGCCAAAAAATGATGCCTCAATAAAAGACAAGTGCCTTTTAAAAATAAAATTAAATATCTTGTAATTTGAATATTCTTAATACTAGAAAGGTGGGCAATAAGCACGACTACTATTAATTGATTCTCTAAACATAATTGTGTAGACAGTAAACAGAACCACCTTCTTCAACACTCAACTAAAGTGACACTTGAAATTCAAGTAAGAAAAGCTCAGTGCTTCATCTACAAGTGTCTAAATGTGAACTACTAGCACAGCATTACAGTTGCTAAACAAAAGCATTAAATAAGATGGTCAGCAATTTTACCATAAAAAATAGCAAACATTAGTATATGCAATAGAAGTTGCTACTCCTATCAAAGACTTCAAAAGCAAATGGGGAAGTTCTGATTTTATTGCAATGCAGAACCTGTACAATAACAGCAACCAGGCTGTATGCCAAGTCCTTTTACACACTGAAATTCACGTTAAAAATACAGTCATGATAAAGATTATTAGTGCTAACTGTGGTCAAGTGTTGAGACATGAAGTTTAGATTGACCAACCTGACCTCAGCTTGACCTCATTTGTGTTGAGCTCAACAAACCCCTGAAGACTAATCCATCATGGCTACAACAGTTTTACCAACTTGTGAGAAAAATATCAGAAACAGCACAGAGGTAGAGGCCATGAACATGCAAGATACCACAGTAATACGTTTACCAAGGCATGCAAAAACATGTTTAGTATCGAGTAGCACAAAAAGGCAAATATGAAGCGAGCATGATACCTGCTTCGTAAGTTTTTTTCAGGTGTAAAATGTAAACTGAAGGCTCATCAGCTGAAGATCATATATGTCAAATGCAGGAGGGTAGCAAGCAGGTCTATGAAGGGTCAAATGAATGCAGAAAATAGCCCCAAACTACAAAGTTTAGTATTCAGTTATTTTTAAGCCCCTTAACATGAATTTCCTAGGGCAGCTTAGGCTTCTAACCTACAGAAAGTCCACCCTGATCTACAGAGACAAAACTACTTAAAAACTGTTCCCTCTGAGGAAATCTCAATTAAGTGGGTACCGGAACGGGTAAGAGGCAAGCGAACAGAACACAAGTGCTTTTCTTGAGAGCATCACCTCATCTGGTTAGTGACAAGATCTCATTTAAGACTAAACGTGGCTACAAGCCCAAAATAAAAGCCTACATGGAATTTTAAAACAGCATATTAAATTTTAGTTTGAAAATTAATACCTGCCTGCCATTGGAAGACCATTCAATTAATAAGCTGTAACAGACTTTAGAGAAAAGACAATCTAAAGGCATATTCTTTGTGTGATCAGCTGAGTGCTTTTAAGGTTGTGCTAACTCCTAATCCAGAGAAACAGAAGTTATAGATGGAAAAGAATTTTATTACCTTCATATTGTGGCTTCACGAGATCCAGCATCTGGCACAAACAGTCTTCAAATGGTAAAGGTTCTATGGCCATGTTGTCTAATTTTTGGCACTGTTCTTCATAAAAATACTCCAGTTCATACATAGACAAAGCACCATCCCCATCAAGATCCATGCAGCGAAACCAGTATTCAATGCTGAAATTCAGCAATTAATAGCAGAGAGCTCTTTACATCAATTTGTTACATAATTTTAAGAATTTATATTGCCTGTTTTAAAGGCTACGCTACTTACAGACACAAAACCAGACCTAAGGCTACATTCCATAATGCCATAGGAAGTCATTAAACACCACCTACAGTGGTAAGGGTGGTAAGAGTTTCTGGCGTTTGCCAAGCCATTCACAACTGCATTTGAAAACACGCTTGTTTGTTGTGGGTGAGTGGGGGAGAAGAGGACTAAATCACGTGGCTTTACATAAAAACTTAAGGGAGCCAACAAAATAATTGAATGACACATCAAAACCCAAGTTCTTTTTTCATATTGAACAAGCTAGTGACACGTCACACAACAGGCTTCTTATCAATATCCTAGAGCTAATGCTAGCTGTATAGTTTCCCAAAGTCACTGGCATAGAAAAATAACTTCCATTTCCTTTATCTATGACCCTGTCTATAGATAGGCCACACAGAACATATGGAACAATAACATTTAATTAGCCTCTTGAGTCACTAAAATAGACTTTTACAGCAGCAACAACAGAAGAGACTGACAAATAAGAATGCTGCAAACTGGGCCAGTTTTCCACTCATGTTTTTATCATCTAGCATCTTTCATTACAGTTCCAGCTAAGCATCAGCGGTCCCTCTTCAAAGACTGGAAAACAATAAAGTCAGTCTTTATTTCTGTTCAAACATAAGTTAATTCTTACCTAGTTGGTGTTTTCTTATCCTCTTCAGATATCAAAAACCAGACAAAATCAGCATAGCTAATTTTTCCATCTTTTTGTGCTTTCCTACCTCTTGAAGGCCAGTGACGGAAGAGATAGAAAATTTATGTTAGAACACCTAACTTCAAAACACCTAGCTTTTACTCACCAAAACTAAGGACTATTGTCTTTGGTGCTATTAACTGTTCATCTCCTAAAAGATGCAGTGTTCCTAAGGTGACTTGTCACAGACTACTCTGATTATTCAGTTTCAGGAGCATGTATGCTCTCTTCTGTTTCTACTGCAGTGGGTATTTGAAGAGGAAGGCAGCGCCCTGTCCAGAAGGATTTCAGCTTTCCCTCCTGGGCAACAATACCACTACTTCATTGTTAACAGAGAGACATCTCAAATACTTTTAAAAAAATGTATTATATAGAAGTACACATGCTTTTTAGAATGTCTGTTCAGGTGAAAGTGATGAGAACTTAAAGCTGTACAGAACTCCACTAGCTAAAAGTGCTGGAATGGAAACATGAAGACAAAAATGAAACAAGAACATTCAGGAAGTCAATGTTTGTGACAAGAACATAGTTGTTTGTTTCTACTCCTACACCACAGAACACAGCATCCAAATACTTTCTGAAGACATATGGTCAGCCTTTCTGGTAAAAAGGCAGGTAGGTATTTCCTAGACATTACATTTCATTCCTAAAAATCCCTTTTTGCCATTTTATCCTCAAGATGTCTAGAGAAATATGATGCACGTTTTGTCTTGCCCATAAAGCTTGCATGGAGTAAGCTCTGGACATACGCCTGCCAAGTGTCATTTCACTCATTTCAGCCTTCGTTACGTCATTTCTGTTTATTGGCTTCTTTCCAGCTGCAGAAGTTGTGCTAGCAAAATGTTTCAAAAATTAGTTAAGTGCCATAACTGCACAAGAGTAATTCAATCTAAGTGGGAACAATGAAGAATGACTGTCAAAAAATGTGAATTAACTCAGCTGGAAGCATTTTTGTAAACTTGTTGATGCAATAAGCATTGATTTTAGAAGTCGTACTGAAAAGCCCAATTCCCTTTGGAAAATTTTGCAAGTTTGAGAGACGGAAAAATAACAAAGAGCACTCCAGTACTACTATAGTTTAAACTACAGTACTAAAAGTTGAAATTCATTGCTCCATTCTAAGGGGAAGGCATTTTTTTCTCTGAATGTCACAGTTAAATTAGCAAGCAAATAAATAAATATTAAATTCAATTTAGTTCAGTGTGTAAAATAAGTACCTCGTTACTGCTCCTGAGAAGATCCTCTCTATCATCCTATTTGATATTGCTGTGAAGAAAGGTTTAAATTAGCGTCAGCTATATACAAGTTATTTTTGCTTTGTATTGTCTAGTTCAAGAGTTTATTGGAAACCTCTCATACACACATCTGAGAGAAAGATCAAGTGTAGCGTTCGTTAATCCTTTTTGAGTTCTCTTGGAGAAGATCACTTAACACAGTCTCCAAAGCAAAGCTAGAACCAACCAGCTTTGAATTCAGACTTGATGCAGAAATAGTAGCATAGTAAAAAGTAATTAAATTGGCTGATTAATAAGATAGCATTTACCAGTTCTTTGACAGGTAAGCCTTGTTTTTGAGTGCCATTGCAGTTTATATGACCTTGGTTTTGGAAAAGAGCCAAAATAGAACTGGCATGTTAATACATAATGAGCATACCTAACCAATTCTGACATGGGTCTATTTCTGACATGGGTCTGATCCATGCTTCTAATTTTGAAACTATTTCAGGGATTTTAGAGACATGTCTTAACTGAGCACTACCTCTGTAAAGGATATTCAATTTATGCTGAAGAATTTGTCGGTGGTACTCAAAGCAGCACATGATACTATTCTCACAGAAGAATTACATCTCATTATTCTATCTATGAAATTTTTTTCAGCATTATAGAAAAATTGATAATTAAAGCAGGTGGTTAACCATTTGAACCGTCCATCTGGTTTATGTACTTACGGTGATGCTATCACTGTATTATTCTAGTAAGGACGCTAGTCCCTGCTTAATATTTATCCCCAGAACTGCAGGATAGTTAATTTGTTTCAGAGATATGTGCTGTGCTGCTTCTTACCTACTTTTGAAACACTGAAGTTGTTCAAACTTCTCAACAACAGCTACGTATTTTAATATTTTTCTTACCACATGAAGTGTTTGATCTAGCCTAGGTTTAGACTAGTGACAGTACTAAAGGAAGAGATTTCTGAAACCAGATCGTCTCCTTTTGGACATGCAAAAACAGAAGTTTAAGACTAATGTTGGGTATCATATCCATTTTATGCTCTTATTTAGTCTAGTTCTCATTAAGCAGCAGCTGTTAAGTTTTAACCAACATTCCATGGCTTAAAGGATGCAAAACTACATTGCAAGTGGCATGGTATCAGTTCTCCTTCCTTTTTATAGCGTACTAACTCAGTAGAGCAACTCTCAGATGAAAGCAGCTTTCATTCCTCACTGTCCTAAAGTGTAGTTAGACTTCAGCAGGCAAATTTTCAGGAGCAAGCAATCAGAACTGTGTTTATTCTTTTCAACGTGGGATAATATTCCATAATCACTTTGTGCTTAAGTAAGCTTTCCAGTCCTGAAGGGAATACTTTTTTTAAGATGACAGCAGACACAAAGCATCCAAAAAGCCCAACAGTTCCATACAAGCTACAAGAATTTCTAGAGCAGGTACAAGCGTGTAAGACTATAGAATCACAGTCACTGTATATTATGAATGCAGAAAATGTAAAGCTGCCAAATAGTATTAAAAGAAAACGTACAGCAGAATTCGCAAAACTTTGAAGTAAGTACATCAATGTATGTTTACCTTTTTCTACCCTTTCCATACCTTGCCATAACAGCCATGCTACTTGAATAATGTAAGTAAAATGGATTGTTTCCAAAGATAACAACCCAAAACCACCAATTGGAGCCATTTATAATGTACTGAGACTTAAATTAGTTTTTTAGATCAAGCCTACACACTTACAAATTTATTTCCTCTTCTACTTCTTTTCAAAGATCAGAATTAAAATTTAGGACTTTCCTCAAATTTGGTATTGCTAGTCACAAAGCAGCATCGCAGATGACTTGCCCTGCTTTATTTCACTAGTCAGCAGGATCAACTATACCAACAGACTCAGATATAACAACATTGGCCTTGGCAGTTAACCACTTTCTCTGTTGAAAGGTCACATGTAAACAAAGGTGCTTTATTTGTCATACCATGATCATTATGTCGAGCTAAATCCTTCCGATCAATATAGAGGTCATGGTCCGTATCCAGCTCCCAAAATTTGCAATAGATAACATAAAAATGTTCATATGAGAAGTACTCTGTCAGCTGGTTAATATCAGCTTCCTCTTCCAATAATGCCACATTCTATTATCAGAAGGATAAATAGAACACATTAAAGAATTTGTACGACATCTGTTGAATGATCTGAGTTCTCATAACCACATTAATATCTAATGCTATTTCAGTGGAACAATTTTTATCTTCAGAGACAGTGCACACTATGCAGCATGATGGCAAAGACTGGACACACAAGGCAGAAAAACTAATGTGTCCATAGAAGAATGAGGAGAACAGCCAGACTTCTGCTAATCACATATGCATTTATACAGCTCTAGATAAAGATAACATTTAAATATTCTAGTGTATGAGAATTAATGCAATTGAGCCTTCACTAGTTTTTGGAAAAGGAATGTTACTCCCTTAAGCATTTAGTTAATGCAGTTTTTAAACTTGTAGAAATATCTGTCTTGCAAAATTTTAGCTATTATGTACCTGCAAAAAGTTGCTTTTCCTGAGCTCATTGCACGTTATTTTCCCAGACCAGGACCTATTTACTGTATAAAATATTCTCTGTATAACCTGCAAGAAACAGAAAATGGAAAGGTGATCTTAGGTATGCTGAGTAAACATCCTCCCACACATTTGCCAAAGATAAGTCTTGGCTCAGATGCATTACACAACACCATCTTTCCCCTATTCTTATCCTTCTTGTTACTTAGCAGGTTGATGCTTCTCTTACATGTCGTATTACCAAATCATTTCTAATTTTGTATCTAAACTCATCTTGATAAGTCTTATTTCAATGCCACAGTACCCATATATCACACAGTAAAGCTGCAGAGTACTCGTATGCTATCCAGAATATGTCTATTGGCAATTTTGCTATCTCCCAGTCTTCCAGATCTACAGGATATCATCTAATAAACCTATTAATATATCTCATTCCTTCAGATTTACAGACCTATGTTTAATATTAGAGTATTTTACTTCATAAATGAAGTTACAGAAATAGAATTGGGACTGTTTAAGGATCAGAGTATAGGAAGATGTTGCTCCTTCTGAAGTCCACAAATACAACAAATCAACATTGGACAGAAATACTTCCTGGAGGTGGAAAGAAAATGTTTTTCCCCATTTAAGTTCACTCTATTTAAAGTTACTTGGGGGGGGGGGACGACACGGGACACAACCCTGTTAATAGTATTAAAAGGAGTACATAAATGTTTTCTAACTGAAGAACAACAACAACAAAAAAAATCTATGCAAGAAAGGCTAATAGTTCTTGTTCCATGACCGGTATCAGAACCAGAAACAAATCCACTCAGTTGAGTATCTGACACTTTTGTTTAAATCAGTTTTACACGTCCATTATTTTGGTAAACTCATCCATTCAGCATAACTTGCTTCATTTTAGTTTACAAACATAAGACTTTAAAATATGTTTTTCCTGTTTAACTGAATTCAGTATTTACCTCAGTTTGACTTAAGCCAACCAGACGCACGTTTCCAGTCACTCATTCAACTACTAACAAAAGCAGACAAAAAAGCTACACATATTACAAACTATAACGGCTTAATTGGAGATTGATTATACCTGCTAATTAACAAGACCAAATACTGCATGTATAGCATTTCATTTGCAACACAGTAGTTATTAGCTAAAAGAACCATCTCTTTAGCAATCCTTTTCCCCCAAATAAAACCTCTTCCACACTGAAGACTATTATTTTTTATCACTTCAGACTTTAATTGCAGTAAATCAATAGTTTAAACAAACCAATCCTTTCTAAGTGACAAACAGAAGAGTAATTTATTCATAAAGTTTTCAAATAAAGCTTGAACTGTAGCATGCAGCAAGCTCTGCAGGTCTTACTTTGAACAAGAACAGCTGGTTCAATAGATCCAGAAAGAAGAATAGACTAGCCTACTTTTGAAACTTAATTAGCTCAATTCTAATTGTGAGTTTAGGAAAGGCCCATTTCTGGCTTATACTACAAAGCATTTTTTTCTGAAAAGGTTTTGCCTTAGCTTTGCAACTTAATCCATCTGCATGTCATTATCTCATCTGTTATACATTTAACTGATCTAAAAATAAACCCAAAATTGAATGTTTGCTAAAGACAACTGGGAACAGACTTAAAAAAAAATGGTTTTCTAAAGTGAATCAAAGCAGAGAGTATAAGCAAACCATCAGAGAATTGCCTTCTTCACTATGCTGCACTGTGGTTTGTCAGAAGTGATAGGAAATGGTGCAATACAGAGATTACAATTTCAAGAATTCACAGTTCACACATAAGTGTAGCATCTCCCTTGTCTGGGCAAACATTTTTAACATATTTCAGCTTTATCTTGAACATATGTACCTAACCTTACCAACCAACGAATCTACAACCTAGCAGACAGAACAGTTTGCTTCCATGGCTGAACACTTACACGACACCTGCTTCACTAAAGAGATGTGTGTAATTATGTATGCATACTCATATATACATGTATACATATACACACAAATACAGCAGAAAAATGGATCATTTAACTTGTAACTAGAAGTTAGCAAGAACAGACATTAAATCGTCAATAACAATGTTTACAAAATCCTTTAAATTAAGCTTCATGTAGAAAGGTAAAGCTACTTTGAATACAGATATGAAATACCTTAATTCATCTTAGAGAGAAACCATCTATACTTATTACTAATAACTTGCAGGACAGAATTTTAGAAGACTGTACTGAGCAACGGTTACTCCATCTTAAAATAGGACAAGTAAGGGCAGATACTTGTGCCATTTCTTGATCTGCAGAGTAGTATTCCAAATATTCTTGCTATATTCATAACAATACTAGTTTACTTTTAAGACTTTTGATAAAACATGTACTTCTGTTGAAGACCACACTAAATTTTATTAGTAAAGTGCTGCCAGCACCGATTTATTCAATATTGCTAGACTCAGGCCTAGTCAAATAAGCTGTTCCTCCAAAGAGGAGTAACTGGAAGTGGCAGGACCTTTTCCGTCCAAGGGTCCTTCAGGACAGGCAGCAAGCTTTCACAGTTTTAAGCACAGCAGGCTTTGATACGACCCAGAATCCGTTAAGAAAGAAAAATACTCACAGGCAGAACATTTCCTTCAGTCATATCTGACAAGAAAGTTCTGGGAGTTCACGTAATCGTTATAACAAGACTCAAAACCTAATGCAGCTGGACACACTTGATAGGCCATAAGAAGGAGAAAAAGGATACGAGGAACCAAAACCAAACACTTCCAAAAAAGCTTCCACAGTTTTGGTCTGGGTCAAACTAAGCTGGATAAAAGATGATCAACTCTGCATGGTTGGCGAATATTCATTAAGCTATTTTTCACATGCACAAAGAAAGTGAACTGAATGTCATTTTGAAGAATTTTAATCTTCTGAGACTTCAGTGGAATCTGCTGTCTAGTCTACAGTTGAGGAAGTTTAGTGTCACTGATTTTTCCCTTGGGTACAGAAAGAATACTTCAATCATATAAGCCTAGGAAGAGAGAGATTGAACTTTTCATGTATAAAACATGCTAGAAAGAAAAATCCTCAGAGAGGAAAGCAGCAAGCAGCTTCAATATTACCATTATTTTACTTAATACTGAATATAATCACGTTAATATAAACCCTTCACTCAAAATCCAGAGTAAGGTCAAGATTCTAATGAATACAGTCTGCTGCCACAATCAAGTGTTTAAGATAACAGTCTGCTCTTCATTTAATGTTCATTAACTTATCCTACGTTATTACAATTCAGTGTTTCTCTTATTAGTATTAAGATCAGCAATTTCTTATAAATATTAAGAAAAAACTATGATATTTAAGAAATTGAGTCATTCTTCACAAGATTTCTAGTTATTTAGAAATGAAGACTGACAGCACACTCAACTTTTCTCAAGGGACAAAGATGCTTATGCATATTGACTAGTCTTAATTTTAATTTTCCTTCTTAGTTAACAAAAAGTAGCTTTCCCAAATAAATTCACTTACTGTGGTAATGTACCGAGAATGAAATTCAGATGCTTCTTTTAAAAATGATAGGCCAGGATGACTATTCACCACATCCTACAAAAAAAACGAACAATATCCCAGACAGTATTCATTGGTGACCATATAAAACAATTAGCACAGAATAGCACATCTGCTGCCTTAACCGAAACAGTTCAAATTAACTACCACAATCATTAATAATAACTGCACTTAGAATGTGCTTCATGTAAATAACACTACTGACTTCAAAAATAAAACTATCTTTTAAAGGAGTCAGATAAACAAAAGTTTTCCCGTATTTTAGCCGGGATGAAGATTTTGAACACTGCCGACTGTTGTAGCTTGGAATTCTGTGGCTGACTACAATTCGGTAAAAGCCAATTTAGGTTTTATTCATTCATTAGTAAAGATGTTGTTTGCTGCTCTTTGAGATAAACTGTATTAGGTCTTGAATTCATATGCCACTTTTCCTTTGCCCACCAAAGGGCCTCCTTGACTTAAACAACTTCAACTGCTTTTCTAAACTGTAAGGATTCTCCGATACACGTGCTATTCCTGCAAGCAGTTTCAAATCCATGCATCTTACTGTAGCTCTCAAAAAACACCTCACCTTATATAGAATGATTAACTGTGAAATAAGTCGCTCACTAGCATCCCAGTGGACCATAGAAAGTGAGCTACAATGAATATTATCAAGAAACTTTAATGAAGACCATGCAAAAGTATTTTTAGCTCAAAAAAAAAAAAAAAAAGTGAGGGCTTAGCCAGCTTATCATTCTGTCATGTTTCCACACTAGTTTCAGTTGTAATTTACTTGTAAAAAAGGAATGAAGTCTTCTTGCACCAAGTAGTTGCATCCAGGGTTCATTAGAAGATGAACAAACTTTGCAGCATCATCATAGCAGGTCTGAAGTATTCTGAAATGTAAATATTTCCATTTACTACTCTACACAGAGAATTGCTCATGCTACCTTGTACGGGTTAGAACAAGGCCTGTGAAACTGCAACCACAACATTTACCTTAAAAGCTAATTATAAATGTCAAACTACACTCCAAGTGAACTTCTCAAAGCAGTACTGTCTTGTACCTTTGCGTTAAAGGAGGTGGGTACATCATGTTATTGATTACATGAAAGGACATTTTTCAGTTAGAAGTGGAAGGAGAACTACAAAGAAGAAAAAGCATTTTGTCCAGAACTGGCATCTACAAGTCAGGGCCATGGTTTTTGCTTTTCCCATAAACAGTCAGTTATTTACCAAACACTTAAAAAAAAAAAAAAAAAAAAAGGAAAAAAAAAATCTATAAACACTGTAAATATAGATTTGTTTATGTTAAAGTGATGATTTACTTACATTTTCCCAGGTACAACTTTGCTGTCAATGGTTGATTATGGGAAAGCGTGCTATTCCCCTTTACAGACTGGATCTCATTCAGAGCAAAAATATCACATTTCAATTAAAAAAAAATGCAGTACTTCTAAAAAAGTAATCTTCTTACTTCCGCCACATTGCAACAAATTTATGAACTGACACGTATCCTGTTCGTTCACCTCCAGCACAATAAAACAAAGGACCTTTCCAGTAAAGTGGGCATTCACAAGCCTAGAATTAAAGTATACATCAAATCAGTTCATTGGTTGCTTATCTGAGGGTTACTCCCTCATTTATAAATCTTTCAAAAATTAAATTTAACAAGTGTTAAAAAGAAAACGTTAAGGCACAGATATTTTAAACTGTTTCTGAAACCCAACTGCACCTTCCAAAATAATTAATTTTAAGCAACTACTTTAGGCTGAAATCCAAGAGAGGAAAGCAAAACAGAGGGCAACTTAAGGCATTCCTAACAGACGAATGCAGTCACATGCCTGCTCTGTCCGCGCTCCAAGCAGCCGAACAGAGTCCATGCTAATAAGCTCCACTAAAGGGCTGGACAACTTTAAGCTGAGCTCAAGACAGCACAAACAGTTACACAGCTTCTAAACTGGAACACGTTTACATTTGTCTGGCTCAGAGGATGCCTCAACTCAGCCTTGCATGTGCATGGCACATCTCCTACCCAACTTTCAGGGGTAGGCCAGCCTGCCCTGAGCAGCAGTACCTTGCTTCAGGATACGCAACAGTTACACCTTCACAACTGCGACTCTCCCATACACCCACTGCGCTGCTTCTGTGTCTGCTCCAGGCCTCCTCAGTCGTCACAGCCAAGTAGCTATCCCTCGCCTAAAACTGACTGTGACTTGGAGCAGTCAGACATGCCAGCACCTCTGAGAATCTCACGTGGATCTCAAATAAGATTGTGAATACTGCAAGATGTACAAGGTCACGGGAGCAAAACGACAGTTACTTCTCATGCAATAGTTTAACCAGTGCTTTAAAAAATCAGCAGCAGCGAGTTTGATAAATACTGCCCTCGGACTGAGAGGCTTTTCCCCATGCTTCAGGAGGGTGCCCTTCATCATGGAGTTGTAGATGAGTGGACCCTTCCACCTTTCTCGTTGGGAGGGAAGGGTCTCTTCCGCCTCTGCCCACTTCTATGTGGAAAGAAGCTGTGGAGGGCGGGAATCCTATCGTTCAGCTTAGCAGATAAACACTTCTGGTAAGGCAAACAATGAGTTTCTCAACACCCAGTCCTGCTCTTGTGAAAAGTCTTTGCTTCTGTTTTCTAGACCCTAGACTTTAATTGTGAAGTGACAGGAACAGGGATGAGAACCTGAGACTCATTACCAAGACCATGACTTGCAGTGGTATTTCAAGTGTTGACTCAAGATAAATTAAATTTCCATTTTGTTAACTAGCTTATCATCAGTTACAAAGATGTTAAAAAGTATCCACTGCTTTCCAAGCTCAGTATTTTGTCACTCTACCATAACTCTAAATTAGCTCTTCAATAATAAATAGAGGACTATAATCTGAAGTTACTAAACCATTCTGTCTTTCAATGTCTTTACAATGGAGGTTCATGACACTGCCAAATGAGAAAAAACAGCGTGGACGCCTGAAAACAAAATGCATATTAACAGTGCTTTTGCCTCAAGTCCATCAGTCAATACAGAACACAGAACAACACACAATGTGCCCTTCAGTATTTGGTTGTTTACGCAACTAAAAAAAATAGTTAAAGTTTTGTTTTAATGTTTGTTTCTTTTTGTAAAAAAAAGATGTAGGGTCACTTGAGAGATAGTTAATACAAAGATTTCCACACAGAACTGTGCTATTAACAACACTGAATGGGATGTCTTACTGGTACTAGCTTGTAGGAGATGCAAACACATAATGCAAGAAAAGCACACAGGACTTCTTTCCTTTCTGCAGGTGCACAGTACTAAAAGCAGGCAGACAGCAAGTTCTCACCTTTGCAACCTTCCCCATGTCTTCTAACGTTGCTCTCTCATTTGGAAACTCAGAGAAAGTTCTCTCAATTTTGGCAATCACAGCATCTATATTTACTTTTTCCTTAGGACATCCTCGAGGAAAATAGAAAGTTGGAATGTTTTGACTAAGTGATGGTGGCAAAGTTTCTTCCTTCTTTGTCTGAACCTAAACAGATAAATACATATATGACAGTCAGGTACAATGAAATTGCATATAACAGTCATCCTCAGAGGACTTGAATCTCTTGGTATTATATGTTACAACACACCTTCAAAGAGGCTGAATAAGCTATTTCAGAATGAGAGCATACTGGAAAAATTGATGAGTATTTCCAAAAACTGTCACTTAGAAAGATTTCTAGGATGTTAAAAATCTAATAAAAACAACTTCAGTCTTCAACGTATCAAGTTTCAAGATTAAAACACTAGACAGCTTCTTGGAGGCATCTGAAATAACTCAGATTATATTATCAGTTTCAGAAGAAAAAACTTCTAGCTTAGCAGACAGGTCATGAAAGAATTTGCTTTTGAACTATTTCTAGTTTTACAGCTTCAAACTTCTGAAATAAGCACGACAGCTTTGTTACAAACCACCAGCCTGTTTAATGTAGTTACAGTGAAGATGGTTTGGGTTTTTTTTTGATCCTAAGCAATGCCTGACTTATAAAGGTAGTAAGTAATTCCTGCAGAAGGATGTTTTTGGTAAACTATTCACAATTATGGCACAAGAGCTAGAAATCTGTTTCTCAAGAATTTGTGATATACCGTACTACTGAAAAAATAGATGACCAGTAATGAGAATTTTTTTACTTAAATGCATTTAGCTTAGGTAAAGAATTTACCCTGTACTTAGTTTCAAAACAGAGTCCAATAAGGCAGACAAAATAAAGATAAGAAGTAACAATACAGTTATGTGACAACTCAAAAGTAGCAATTAAACATGAAGTCTTTCATCCCAAGGCTGCTGTTCAAATGTAAAAACAGTAGTCAATGCTATAAGGTGGATCATCCTAGTGTTAAATATGTTCAAGATCCTGAATTCCATCTCATTTCCAACCAGAACTGGGGGAAAAACCACCCCCAATATCCCCCAAAACTCCAACCTCATTTTACTTCTTACCACTTTGTCAGAGTGCCTGTAAAGACACACAGCTTTCCTACCACAATCACAATCCTTAAGTCAATAAAAGAACTAGGTGCTTACAGACAGCAGATGTTAATTTGCAGGGTTCCAACTTAGAAGCCTTCACTGGAAGGCTACATATGCTTAAAAGAAAAAAAGCCTGAATTAACCTTTCTTTCCCTTTCTCTGCATTTGAGCCAGCATTCCTGTTCACAGCTGCAGAATTACTTCAACTGAGTTACAAGTTTTACTTCATAGAGGGAAAAGCTACCTTGAATCTGTGACACCTAAAGTCAATGTCCATCATTTTCTAAGAATCCTGTAAATCACAACTTTTGATATCTCATCATTAGTTTAGTGGTCCAGCCAATGAGGCGTCAGCCTAGAACAAAAGTGCCACAGGGCATCAAAAATCCTTTCCAACTGTAAACTTCTAAACTTCTGGGAAGAATAAAGATAGCAACATTTTACTCTCCAAGTAACATTACCACCAGCACTACAAATAGTGTACTTAATTGGATTAACACCTTGTTTTATTTCAGAAACACAGCATCAGCACTTTAGTAGAGCCCTAGCAGTTACCCTCTGCAAAACCCGGACTAAAGACTTGCTCCTTGGCATGGTACCACACAGTCAGACGGGTAGCATGCTTTTGAGCACCGGCAAGCAAACCATCTTTTACTTGACAGAATCAAACTCTTATATTCGCTCCAAACAGCAAGGCTATTTTATTTCCCCTTTTCCCCATTTACAAGATCTGCCCGGATAGCCACTTCCATGTGAGTTGCTCAAATTGCCACCAGAGCAGCAGGTGTTCCAGTTCTTCAGAGCTGCCCGATGAGGTGTGCCTCATTGGAGAAGAGGGTAAGTGTCAATTATAGACTACTAAAGTCCCCTGATTGCTTCAGGCAACATGAGGTAAATTATTATTTCAAGAAAACCTAGTAAAGATAGACAAGGCATTTTTAAAATCCACAGCTAGAAAAATGTAGAGCCTCAGATTAACAAAAAGTTTCTTCTAAGAGGAAACATAGGGGCAGAGGGAAGACTACATTGGAAAAGGTCCCAAAACATGAAGAAAGGCTATCAACAGAACCATTTGCTCATCAGAAACTTAATATTTTTTTCCAGAAACTACTAATTTATTTCAGATACCTCAGAGTACACAATAAATCATTTCCATTAGTCCAGGTTAAAAGCTGTTCTTCAGTGCATGCGGAGATCTCAGTTCAGGATTTGTAGGTAAGACCTATCCTAGTATGTGCCACTTCCTTCGCTGTTATTTGAGTTATACAATAAAGGCTTTTTTTTTTTTTTAAATCTTTTTTGTCTGTTGTAAACACGTTCCAGACCAAGATTATGAGGAAGAAGTTAAGCAACAAATTTAGAACCAAAGGTAGACACATAGGTGAAGCAAATTGATTTTTCTAAGATGAAAATGTTATGTTTAAGCATGACTGAATTCAGCGTGCTTAATGTAAAAATATATAATATTTAATCTCTAAGACAGTATATTTATTCAACTCTAAACCCAAAGATAGACTACAAACCTCACTGCAAGATAAAAGTAAGTGTCCCTATATTGAAAGATGTTGCCTATTTCTACATACTGGTTTCTCAAAGTTGGTAAAAGAAGAAACTATAAAAATGCTTCATTCGCAGCAGAACGCGTCTAATCATTTCACAATCATTTCTGCTGATTTATTTGATGCCTACATATAGGCATCTAGTGAGAATACCATCTAGGGCACAAACTAAAATGCCCTTGAATATTCCACGTGGTATCCAGCAGCCAGCTCAGAGCACAGCTCTCGCTCTGCATCTGCCACGCTGATGTTCTGAGCACACTAATGCTTCTTAAATGCCACCAGCAACTTGCAGTTGGACAACGGAATTGTGCTGTTGGTGTCAGTCAGCACAGGGATAAGAGCCTGTACCAAAGAAAGAAACAGGTCATCCAAAATGATCAGCTCCAACTCGTGCACTATAAAGTTAATACAGCATCTCCCCTCTCTCCTCACCTTCCCCACAAGGGCCAGGGAGTCTTCTTTCCTCGCATTCTGAATCCTGGCCAACAACTGAAAGGCTCCTTGTACAACTGAGGCTGCTCTGCTGTATGTGCTCTAATGAAGGAACATGTGGTACTAAAAGGGCTCCAAAAGCTTCAGTACTTGCTATTAATTTCAGCTAGTTACTTCTGTAGATGCACATATTGTATTGCTGATGAAAAGAGTCAGCTCTGTTATTTCAGGGCAATCAAAATGCACTAATTGTGTGAGATTAAGCTGTTCTAAAATTAATTAGAACTTCAACCAGGGAATTTCTTCATGAACAAGAACTGCCAGTCTGCTAACACTGAATCTTTGACTGGAAAATCTGCAGCAACAGTCCATTATTCTTTTTACGCAACTATTTCATTTCAATGGCCAGTTTAACACTTAAAGTGATCTTCATTTTCTTATGGCTTTAAGTTTAAACTTTAATACTGGTACCAGTACGCTAAACTGACAAAAAGACTGGTTTGGTAAGTGAAGATTTTTTCATTGCAACTTGCCAAGAAATAGCACAAACAACAACATCCTCAGAGTTGAGGGTAACAGCGGTATAAGCCTGCAAGTAACTCACACAAGCAGATGTGTGCTGCAGTGTCAAGATGGAACGGCCCATTAACCTTTGCGGTAAGTGTATGTAAAGCCTAAAACTTGTAATCTTACTGTGAAGTTGCCACTGCAGTTTAAGTTTTAAATAAAAGATCAGAAGTGAGGATTCCTTGAAAATTCATTGTTTGCAATAATGTAAACAAACTTCTGTAAGATTTGTCTACAAGAGAATTCAAGAAAACCTTTAATACGTAACCAGTTTTCATTCCTGACATATAGAACCATAAGGACCGTCCACAGGTATCCAACACTTGCCTTGACTTTTACAAAATAAGAAGTGGAAGTTCATATCCCACTGGGGTCATTGTTCAAAGGGCAAATTTCGCACTTTACTTTGCAACTCTCCAGATCCTTTTCTAATTGTTTTCCAGCAGTTGTTTACAATAACAGTACAAAACCATTATTATAATTACAATACAGTAATATACTAGTAAATATCAGACAACATGTTAACATCTCATTCCAAAGAGTTGTTGTTCTTATATCTACCAACAGATGAGTTGCACTTGGCAGTTAACTTGGTTCTAAGCAAAAATGAAGACAGCAGGGATTTTAAAGTGAGGTGCCATTTTCGCTCTCTCAGCTGAAAGAAGGAGCTGACACTATGACGGAGGTGTTCAACGACAGGATGTATTTCTGAAATAAAGCAGAAGGGGGTGCTTCTTCCCAGGTATTTTAAGACTGTACACTCAGTAAATCTAGATCTACATCTGTACACAGAGACTACCAGCCAGAAGCACTGAATCCCACAACGGGTTTGAATAGGTGGATTCAAATGCAAGTGAGTGAAACCTCGCTTACAAAGGACTTGCTGGAAAAGGACACAAGGTAAATATTTTTATGAATGTAAAATTTTTCAGACAGCTTACTGATTAAGACAAAAACTCACTGAACTGATTTGGTGTTTGCATTGTTTTGACATGACTACCGAAAAAAATAGCTTCATTCAGAAATGCTGATGCTTTCTAGTATGACAAACCAACATTTGTTATGCCTATTTCTCTGAAAAAAAACCCCAACTTTTAAAACATCTTTACAAAGTTAGGATTCAGCTTTTACTGTATTATTTGACATTAATGTCCCTAAGGATGTCCATATTAGAAAAACGTCAATGGAATACATACAACAGGGTCAAGACAATAGGACCCCCCAAAAATTCTACCTCACATTTACACCCAAATTCACATTAAGTTTTTCCTAAGAAGAGGTACACCACAACCCCAAACCTAAAATTGCACTAAATACTGGAAGTACTATAAAGAGAATTTTACTGATCAAATAGGGAAAACTTTGGTTCAGATACTTAGTAATTTTAACTAAGGCATTAATAAAAAAAGGGAATGTTGTGACACTTTTCAAATGTACAATGCATAAGTTAATCTA